TATACTCGAGCAACCTGAGTTCGATCCCCGGTGCCGGTACCAATGAAGTTTTTAACTTTAAGTGCTGACTTATCACGTGCTCCGCGGTGAAGGAAAACATCGTGAGAAAACTTGCATATTTGCGAAATAATAACAAAAAAAAATATATTTCGAACGTATGTGAAGTCCGCCAATCCGCAGTGGGGCCGCGTGGTGGACCATGCCCTGATACCCTCTGTATAGAGGAGGCCTTTGCCCAGCAGTGGGACATGTAAAGGCTGTTACTTTTAGGTAAAGGCAAAATAATTATCTGATAAAATAAACCATTTCATTCAAAATGGTCAGGAACATTAAATATAATTGATTTGAACTGAATATGTTAAGAATAAAATCAAAACAGTATTAATAGAAATAATTATTAGAATACATAACATATTCATACCAGAACCGACGTCGTCCAAACAAGCACAGCACTGTAAAATTTATATTTTCTTTTTAAATACGTAGGTTTATGTAGAATTATTTGAAAATGTGAATAAAATTTAACTCCTAAAAAAATATTCCTGTAAAAATTTACCGCCCAAAAAACATCAATTCCACTTTTTTTATTCCTAAATTTAAGAACAAAATTCCTAAGTTGGCATCCTTGAGCGTGCGCCGGCGAAGCAATGTATATCGGTCACGCCTGGAATGGTGTCTCTGTCACTTGATTAGATAACCTAAGCAGATATATATAAGGTTCAGATTGTGCTTATACGTGAAATAAAATACTTTCAAAGTGTTTTACTTCTTGATTGGAATATTTTGAATCTTATTTGTATTGTTCCTAGGTTTAAACTTGCAAGGAAACAAGTATTTGACTCGTTGCGTTGGACAGAAAATACTTTGAAAGTATTTTGATACCTTGTATGAGAAGGTGGAGAAGCCACGGTTTTCGGCATTCGCAAGCCGAATAAATCAGCCAACCAGCCCTCTAGTTATCGTCCAATCAGCCTCCTTAGTTGCCTGGGGAAGCTCTACGAGCGGCTTCTATTAAACAGGCTCAAAGACCACGTGTTTTTCAACGGCCTTCTGCCGGCGGAACAATTCGGCTTTCGAGCTAGACATTCCTGTCCCGATCAATTATTCCGCCTAACGGAGCATATCCTAAAAGGACTAAATCACCCTAAACATATTAGTACAGGGGCACTTTTCTTCGAAGTCGCAAAAGCATTCGACAAGGCCTGGCACAACAGCTTGCTTTACAAGCTGTACACACTCAAAGTGCCAGATAGGCTCGTACACACCATCCGGGCCTTCATGTCGAACTGCTCTTTTCGATATCGAGTTGAAGGCACCCTCTCTACTAGCCACCGCCTCACGGCCGGCGTACCACAAGGCTCCTGCCTCACACCTTTGCTCTTTACGCTCTACACGAGCGATATACCTAAAGAGCCCCATGTCAATCTCGCGCTTTTTGCGGATGACACGGCGCCCTTTTATTAAGATCACAACCTTAGTCAACTAACCACTCGACTCCAAAGCGCCGCCGACCGCCTCGCTGATTGGTTCCGCAAATGGAGAATAGAACTAAATCCCGAAAAGAGTGTGGCAATTCACTTCACAAGAAGTACTTACCCGTCACATCTTAATAATGGCCCTCGCCAATGCAGAAAGTTGGGGCAAATATCCCTTTATGGCCAACCGCTCCCCTGGGAGAAAAAGGTCAAATACTTAGGAGTCACTTTCGACTGGCGTATGTCATTTACTACGCACATTAATAACGTTCGCAATAGAGCCGCGTTCGTGTCCGGCCGGCTACACAATTTAACTAACGCTAAAAGTAAAATACCCTTAAGGCACAAATTATTATTATATAAGACCTGCGTACGACCCATTATGTCCTACGCATGCATGACCTTCACCCACACGCACCCTACTCGCTTGTACAAGTTGCAAATAGTACAAAATAAGTTCATCCGCCGCGCAACCGGTGCGCAGTGGTATCAACGCAAAGTCGACCTGCACAGAGATTGCAGACTCCCGACGATTCGCGAATATTTTAAAGGCCTGACCAAACGGTTCTGCGATAGAGCCGAACATCATCCCAACCCTCTGGTTGTAAGCGCAGCAAATCAACAAGCGTCGCCCGCGTTAGTGCAACGACAAACACACTAGTTCGCCCTCGCCTCCGAGCACGGCAAAACCAACACAACGCACACAAGGTACACCCGCTTTCCATGGCGGACCTCACCGCTCCCAGCCACCGATTGGCTAATTGCACAGTCGACGGCCATCGGGGTTTCGGTCCGAACCGCGATCACGATGGCCCTTAGATGACACACCATAGTTATACGCACGCATTAACACATTGATATAATACTGGCCATTCGCCATAAATGTAAACATTGTTTTTAAAATTATTCTTTTAGATATTCCTTATTGCTGACACAATTATTCTTACGTATGTATATATATTTTCTGCTTAATAAAACCTAATAACTAGGTTTTGTATTATTCATCAATTTATTCAGCAGAAAAAATCAACAATTCAATAAAATAATTCTCAAGAAGTATGGAGAGATTTTTAAGACCAGATAAATTTGGAACCGATTGTTCATCTGCTACCGCGGCACAAGAATGGAGACATTGGTATATAACTTTTGAAAATTTTTTGGCTATAAATGATGTTAAAGATGAAAAAGCAAGATTTCAACTTCTGATTAATCATCTATCATCAAAAGTTTATGGATATATATGTCATTGTGTTAGCTACAAAGATGCGATCAATAATTTAGAGCTTGCATTCGTCAAACCAAAAAATATAATTTTTGCAAGACACAAGCTTATCACCTCAAAACAAGAAAACGGGGAAACGATTCAACAGTTTATACATAAATTAAAACTACAAAGTCTGGAATGTGAATTTACATCAGTGTCTGCTGAAAAATATTAAGAAGAGTATATAAGAAACGCCTTCATTTCTGGTATTTCATCTAATAATATCAGACAGAGATTATTAGAAAATTTATCACTTTCTTTAGATGAAGCATATAACAAAGCAGTATCATTGGAGCTAGCGAAGTCTACTGCTCAAGAATATCAGATCAATCCAATAAATGCTTCACAATCACAAACTCATGTTAAAAATCATGAGTTTTCGTCGGCTTATCAGAAAACTTTATACAATCGAAAAAAATGTTTTTTTTGTGGCGGAAATATACACGTGCGTTCAAATTGCCCTGCAAGGAATGCGATTTGTCAAATATGTGATAAAAAAGGACATTGGGCCAAAGCATGTCATAACTCAAAAAAAATCTGTAAATGCCGCATGCATTTAAAATTCATTGCTAATGAAATTCAGGAATTATTATTAAATGGTATTATTGAAGAAAGCAGATCTCCATGGAGAGCTCAAGTTCTTGTAATAGAAAATGATAATCATAAAAAGCGTCTTTGCATTGATTATTCACAAACTATCAACAAATATACTTACTTAGACGCTTAACCATTGCCAAATATAGAGACAATTGTACAAGATATTGCTAAGTACGAATTATTCTCAAAGATTGACTTAAAAAGCGCGTATCACCAAATTCCGATTCTTGATACGGAAAAACCATTAACTGCTTTTGAAGCAGTCGGAAATTTATATCAATTTTGTAGAATTCCATCTGGAGTTACTAATGGTGTAAGTAGCTTTCACAGAACTATAGACTGGATAATACGAACGGAAAATCTACAATCTACGTTCGCCTATCTAGATGATGTTACCGTATGTGGTAAGAATAAAGAAGACCATGACTATAATCTCGAGAAGTTTATGTCTGCTGTCAAAAAGTACAATCTTACTATAAATGAGAAAAAATGTACATTTTCAATTAAAAGTATTTCTATTCTTGGATATAACATTAATAATAAAATGATCACTCCAGATTTAGAAAGAATCAAACCTCTACAAAATTTGCCTATTCCAACGGTTTTTTTTTTTTTTTTATGAATCAACAATTCCTCAGAACACTCCCCGTGATAAATGCGGTAGAAGATGCAGAGTGATCCAACATCTCTACGCAGAGCCAGAGGATCAAGCCGATCGGAAAGACTTTGATCGTCGATAACCCTAGCCGCCCTACGTTGAATGCGGTCAAATGGAAGAAGCTGGTAATAGGGGGCTCCCGCCCAAAGGTGAGAACAGTACTCCATGTGGGGCCGAATTTGCGCCTTATAGAGGTTTAGGCGTTGGGCAGCCGTGAAGTACCGTCTCGCCTTGCTGAGCACACCAAGCTTCTTTGAGGCCAATTTGGCCTTACCTTCCAATTGACCGCGGAACTGGACGTTGCTCGAGATTTCGATGCCAAGCATTCCGATACTAGCTGTGGCAGGTAGGGAAGTGTTCTCTCTAAAATAAGTTCGAAATGTTTAAGTTCAAATAAACAGTTTTCCTATCAGTCCTTAAGTGTCTTTTTGGTTTGAAAATGATCCCATCAGCCACAGCTACCTTTCAAGAAATGATATAATAATGGCCATTCGCCATAAATGTAAACATTGTTTTTAAAATTATTCTTTTAGATGTTCCTTATTACTGACACAATTGTTCTTACGTATGTATATATATTTTCTGCTTAATAAAACCTAATAACTAGGTTTTGTATTATTCATCACACATGCGTGGCTCTACCAACTTCAGACGAAGCTTTAATAGTCTCGGGACTAAAAGCAAAAACATCAGTTATTACATGATACAAGAGAAGATGGACGTACTTTTAAGACCTGGTACGCGATTTAGCAACTATAACTCATCCCTAATTTGGTTACATTTATTATCTGGCTACCTATTATTACAAACAATTATCAATTTTATGTCATGTGCATTTTTCAGTATATATGTCTTATCTATGGTTATGGGGTTTAACCTAGTCAATGCAAAGAGAATGAAATCACTACGTTTAAAATTTAAATACGATTCAATGTGTAGTACAGTGTAACTAGACAAGTAGTATTAATAGGATAGTATTTTTCATGAAAATTGAAAACCTTTTAATATGAGAAAAAATGGAGAAAGAATTTATCCTTGTATATATATAGGCTGCGATTCGAAATTCAATAGGCCATATAGGCTTGAACAACATCTACTAAGTCATTTAAATATAGTAAGTTTTTCGTAGAATAATAATTTGTGGTAAACCTTTATACAGTGTTATTAACCTAGAGTGAACTATTTAATAGAAGCCGTTTCCATGTCCGTGGGAAAAATGCCAAAAGGGCTATTCAAATAAAAGTCACTTGAATCGCCACATATCTAGTGCACATGAAAATGTTTCAACAAATATAGTTTACAGGTATGTAATATTTCCATAATTTTAAATCTCCAAAATCTTCTATTGTAGAGGAAAATATTCATATGTTAGTATTTATTTATAAAAATAAGGGTTTACACACCTACGTGAAATGAAACACAAAATATACAACAAAGTTACTAGAATCACTAGTACAAAGTTCTGTTATAAAAATAATTATTTATTATATTATAAGTGTTTACAAACTGCAGTGAAAATTTTAGCAATTGTTTACTACAGGGGCATGCACTTTTTCCGTATATAAATATTTGCAATATAACTGAAACAATGATTCATCATTATCAATCGTAAGACATCCACTTTTGTACATATACACTTAGAACAACACTGGCATTTGCATCCATCAGTTGCCTGTAAAAAATTTACTTTTTTTAAACAAAAGCCTACTTTAATAAATTTTTAATATTTAATAAAAAAAATTAAAATCTAAGTGTACTTAGTAGTACTTACTTAGTACTTGGTATTAAAATAATAGGAAGAAACGCTTCGATTTTGAAAAATAAAATGAAATTTTGAAATTTAATACTAAGTAAATGCAACATTATAATTATTGTGTACAAAATTTGTTTAAGAGGGAAAGACTTTCCCCCTCAAAATTACTAACAAAATTTTCAATTTACAGATGTTCACAATGCTTAAAAAGATATTCAAATCGTCAAAACTTGAAGAAGCATATAAAGTTGAAGCATGTAATTAATAACACTTTTGTATGTGATATCTGCAATGTGCAGTGTAAAAAGAAACACCAACTGAATAGTCATATGTATTTGCACAATGGAGTTAAAGCTTTTAGGTTACTATCTGATTAATTATTATAAAAGATTAACTATTACAGTGGTAGGGCCACGCAGCAGCCTCGGCTGTTGCACGAATGGGCAGGCCCGTCCGGGTAAGTACCACGACCTCACAGAAGACCAGCGTAAAGTGACAGTATGACAAATACTTTCGCGTTTCGTCTGGTGAGTGAGGTAGCCGGAGCCCAATTTTCAAAAGGTCGTCAACGCATCTGTAACCCTCGGGTGTGGTAGATATCCATGGGCGGCGGTATTTACTTAACATCAGGTAAACCGTCTGCTCGTTTGACAACTTTTCGCATAAAAAAAAAAATGTCCAATATTTTAAAAATATTCTATTTCAAACATTAACTATGTTTGCACATTATAGAAATTTTACCAATGCACAAAACATAAGTCTTATATTTTTAGTCATTATGTTTGGTTATAAGAATTTATTTCCCAAAAGAATGTTACATAGTTCATTTATCTGTAAGGATCAGTTATTAATTAAGGCCCATTTACACAATGCCATTTTCTTGTACATACAAGAGCAATAATTGAATGCAATAAATTGCGCGCAATAATTGACCATCAAGAACGGTATGCTACTGTTTACACGCAGGTATAGTAGAAAAAATTGAATGCAAGTCTTGACAAAAAATAATTGCAAATATCTTTTGTTTACACAAATGCAATTGTGTTGAGCAGATTATTGATTTTAAGTTTTGACTTGTCTCAACACATGTTTGTGCATGTACAATTTATTAGTGTGTTGCTTCAAGTATTGCACGTATTTGCGTTGACAATTTTTCATTCAAGTGTTGAATGTTTTAAAGAGGGGTGTTTATTTTAAAAAAAAATGGGTCAATAATAAGTGTTCAAGTTAGATTATGTCGATTTAATATATTTCATTGATATTTTTATCCAACTTTGTTTTATGATCTTTTCCCAATATTTCTTGCCTCAAAAGAAGAGCAATGATTAAACTCATGTTTGCAAAAGAAGAGAGAATGCAATTGAATACAAGAATTGCTTAAGAAATTATTGTGTGTACTGTTTGCACCAAGAAAAATTTTGAAACTCAACTTGAAGCAAAACTTGTTCAATAATCAAGAATTTTATGTGTTATTTAGATCATGCAAGTCATTTATTGCTTCAATTTAATTGTATACAACAGGCAAGAAACTTGCACCATGTAAATGGGCCTTTAAGTATGTCATTAATCTATTTTTCAAAGCATTAATGGATACATATTGCATTGATTATATTTAAATTAATGAATAATTTATGGTATAGTAAAAAATATTATCATTTGAAGTGAATAGGTCTAGCACATATTGATGGATCTTTGTGGCAGATGGGACAGGACAGTTGGTAAAATTCCATTAATAGATTAAAATATATTTTTTTGAGATTTTAACGTTTGCGTAAAAGACAGGTAAGCTTTTTAAAGTTGCCCAAATTTACACAGGTTCAGACTCGGTAGTATAATCGTTTATTGAAATAAAAACAATTTTTTTTTTTTTTTTCAAAAAAGTTTGTTTTTATTTAACCTAAAAAACAGAACTTGTTGACAACGCGGTAGTCATTCATAAATGCGTCGTATACGTATACTTTTGAAACGAACTTATGTGTTGTAACTAAAACAGTTATGAATGAACGCGCGTAAAATAAATGAGTTGCCCATAAATCACACACATTTTGAGATAAGTTCAAATGAATGTAATTAATTGATTACGAGTGATTTTATGTATTTATCTTTTTTTATATATAACATTATTTAAGTCTAGAATTTAATTAAAAAAAATGGATACACTTAGAAAAACCTCCTTGTATATGTATACAGTATTTTGACAACATAATATTCTAAACAAATTTAAATTGAGGGCAATATTTAGTTTAAACAAAAATATGGGGAAAACAAATTTACCATATTATTTGTGAACACTCTTTATTGTAATTTTCTAGCTGTGAAATTTGTACAAAAGAATTTGTATCTCTACATGAGAAAAAGCGACACATGAGAGGCCACAAAACTTACACCTGTGAACATTGCTCTATAACATTTAATCATTGGTCAAAATATCAGAGGCATAAGAAATCAGAACATGATGTGAAAGGTAAGTAATGTATACTAAGTATGCAGGGTAAATAAACTTCTTACCGTGCTTAGCTTGGCATTGAAAGTTTATCAATACCCAGTTTGTATTAAAACAGATAGATGTTAGTATACAGCTAGTTAATTTTTTTTTTGCGGGATACGAAGCCGCGTCTTCTGGGTAAGACACCCGTTGCTAAAATACAATAAAGAAATTAGTATAAATGTCGAGATTTTTGCGACCGGGATAGCGCTCCCTTAGCTCTGTGATTAGAGCGTTGGGGCGCGTTGCCCGAAAGAAACTCGTCCGGCACAGGCAGGGCTGAAAATTTAAATTTCAAAAATGTATTAATTATTTTTTATTATTTATTCGAAAATAAAATTCACATCTAAGTTACATCTTGATTGCAGAGGCTAGTACTAATAATTGTTAATGAATTATAAATTTCAACACCAAAAGCCGACTTGTCATATTCCCACATTCATTTTAAATGTTATTTGAAAAGTTTTGTAGTCATGTTGTATAGTGTGCACACTAGATGTTGCCAAGCGTTGTTGAAAATAAAAGGAAATAAAGAAAGTAGATAGATGTCGACTCACGACATGAGGATATTGGTAGCTTGGCTCAGTGTTTAGAGTGTCTGAGCGTGTTAAGATGCAAGATTTGATGGATTTAAATCCTGTAGGCTCGAAAATTTTAACAATATATGTACAAAGAAATTCACAGTAAAGTTTTATCTCGAGTGCAGAAAATAGCACTAACATATAAATGAATGACAAAAAATACTTGTCATTGGTTCAGTCTCCATCTTAGTCCTTATTCCTAGACTATTTAGGGCCATTAATAATGGTAGTAGATTTTGGATGGCCTTTTAGTAAATAGTTTCTTATAGCCAGAACTTTTACTTAGACAGGCTTATGAACCTAAATTTAATTATGCATAATAATTAATATTTTATCATCAACACTTTAGTTCTAGTGTAATTTATAATTGAAATTTCTAACATTTTCAGAGTATATATGTAATGAATGTGGAAAAAAGTATAAGCAAAGAAGTTATATCATACGACATTTAAAAACTCACTTTGGTGGCCAACTTGTGCGAAAATTTTCTTGTCCATACTCAAATTGTTACAGGTAAAAAAAATTGTGTTTTTAAAACTTAAAAGCACTTGGATTATACATGAGTTGCATTTGTCATATGTTTCCGTTTAACTGATGGGAAGTGATTACGGACACCCAACTATGGTATGATTTACAACACGTGAGGCTTCAGATATGCCGTAAACAATAGCATACACTGCTGTTTGGCTATGTCACTAGCACTTCTAGGTCCTTGCAGTCGTCTTGAAAATGCATTCGACGGCGCGTTCAAAGTCTAAGGGGTATCGGATATGGGCGAGTTTGAATTGAAGTGTATGTTTTCCCCACTTGCCCCTTTTTGCCCAAGTTGTTTAATGAAACCTATACCATCTCAGTGTACATTGGGCTAAATGTAGATTGCAAAAGATTTTTGTGCTGTTGTAATAATTATTAAATGCAGTGCTATTCCTATTAAGTAGAAAAAGTTATGTAAGCCAAATGTTTGTTTTCCTGTGCTATGTTTTTTGTATATAATATGTATATGTTTTGTAATAATAAGAGGCAACATGAAAATTTTCAGGCGTTATTCAAGAAATAGTAATCTCACACAACACATCTTTACAAAACACAAGAACATCAAACATTTGTGTAATATTTGTCATATTGGACTTAGTTCAAAGGTATGTATGTAAGCTTATATACAGGGTGATTTTATAGACGACGGACATATTAACAGAGCATATGCAGAATTTTATTCTAAATCTGAATCTGGTACGTACTTGTAGCCTAATTATTTTTTTCTTTCAAAGATTATTTTTAATTTTCATTTTAATTCAAACATTATGGACCCTCCATATTTATAGTGCTAATCTCTGCACTTAAGATTGAACATTAAAATTTGTAGAAAAAGCTCAAAAACAATGTAGATAAAGGACGTTAAGATTTTTGTTAGACGATTTTGGGACGTAAGATTGGCACTATAAAAAATTTAAATTTCTAAGAAGCAGTGGCGACATCTCTCGTTAGAATTATCGTTGTAAAACGATATTCGAAAGCGCTTGTATGCTGAAAAGGATATAACAATGGATGCGCCAAACATTGCTTCAAATGCTAAAAAACAATGTAGATAAAAGACGTTAAGATTTTCGTCAGTGTGGCAATCAGCCGTTTAGGTTAGTGGCTAGAGCGTCAGGCCGCGAATGCCGAAGACGTGGGTTCGATTCGTAGTTCGATCTTTTCGTACTTAATTATGGACACCCTATTAGAAATTCTTGCCTTTCTACCGTCTCAATAAAATATCCTAACCGCCGATCTTACTGTGCCGTTGCTGTTCGCTGTTTGATTTGTTGCTATCGCATTTGTATCTTGTGAGTTCAATGTCTGAAATTATCTCGTCTCAGTGTCCTTCCTTTAGTTATACTACATGCGTATACCTATATACTGCAGACTGAAGGGTGACCACTCTTAACGGGGTAAAGAAACAATGTTTGAATTGATATTTTTCTGGTTATTTTTTGTCAAAATTTTGAAATTATGAAATGCTCAATTAACATTATGTCATAGTATGTACTTCGTGTAAAAATCACCCTGTACTATCATTAACCAGTACCTACATTTAAAATACCTAATTATGTATTATGGTTGAAATATTTATGTGGGTGACATTTTAGGCTAAATTGAATGAGCACTTGAAACATCACACAGAAGGTAACCACATGAAAAAGGAACATAAGTCCCTACCAACTGGAAGGAAAGAACGAAAAGACAAAGACTCCATGAAAATATCCACAGCACTTAAGTTGGCTGGAATTAAAAAATTAGAAGAGAAAAGTAATGCAAGTTGCGATGAATAACTGCAAGCTATTAGTTGTACTGATATGATAAATTATTACTTCTGTTATTGGCTTTTTTTATGTGAGAATGTGGCAAGCGAGCTGGCGATTCAGGCAGTTCATCTGATGTTAAGTGATAACCGCCCATCATCATTTGCAACACCCGTAGGGTTATAGATGTGATGCAATCTTTTAATAAAGTAGGCTCTGGTGACTTCACTCACCAGACAAAACACTTCTGTGAGGTCGTGGTACTTCTCAGAACGCACCTACCCTTTATAATTAAGCATAATCATTTCAACAACTTTATAATTAAGCATAATTTTATTGAAAAGAAGGATATAACGCAAACATGTTTGCCGCTACTCTAATATTTAATAAGTGTATTTTAGTAAAGGTCGTGTAATAGCTAAAGAAGAGCTTAAATGGTTTGCAAAGTTCTTTTGTTTTCGTATTGCCAAACGAACAATCATCAGTCAATCATCTTTAAAAGACAACAAAAGGTCCGCGTCAAATTATTAAAAACTAGCTGTTGCCCGCGATTAAGTCCGCGTAGAATAGGGTGAAAGCGAAAAATTCAGACAGGTACAGAAAGATATGTATACATATAATAAAAATGTAACTTGTCTTTGTCTGTACATTGAGGATATTTGAGAAAAACTATTATTAATGATCCCCCTTTATGAGCGCAATAGAACCCAAACCAATGGTTGTTAAAATTGTTGTGTGTATGTACGTTTGTGCTTTTTAATCTCAGAAACGGCTTAACTGATTTGGATGCAACTTTCACTAATACATTGTAGTACTTATACTACTTTTAGTCAAATCGATTCATAAATAAAGCAATTATATCAACTTGAAAAAAGTAATCGCTACAGCTGAATTGGATGAAACTATAGTTAACCATAATTATATTATGGTCTGTAAAATGATGATAATTGATTATATAAATTTCAAAACCAGCCAAGTGCGTGTCGTGCAATCGTGCACGAAGGGTTTCATACCATAATTAAAAAAAATGCAATATAATTATGTCTGTTGTATGAGAGCCCCACTTAAAAAAAAATATTCTGATTTACTTTATTTGTTATAGCATCAACAGAATTACATCATCTGTGAAAATTCCAACTGTCTGTTTAGAAAACTTACTAAAAAAATTTAATAAAATAAATTGAATTAATCTTGAATACTTTCACAAAGATAGAGCCGTGATAGCTCAGTGTCCGGGCGCTCGTCTTTAATTCAATATACTCGAGCAACCTGAGTTCGATCCCCGGTGCCGGCACCAATGAAGTTTTTAACTTTAAGTGCTGACTTATCACGTGCTCCGCGGTGAAGGAAAACATCGTGAGGAAACCTGCATGTTTTCGAAATAATAACAAAAATATATATATATATATATTTTGAAAATATGTGAAGTCCGCCAATCCGCAGTGGGGCCGCGTGGTGGACTATGCCCTGATACCCTCTGTATAGAGGAGGCCTTTGCCCAGCAGTGGGACATGTATTGGCTGTTACTTTACTTTACTTTCACAAACACCATACAAATTAGTCAAGTAGTTGGATAACTGTGATAACTAACTGTTTGCGACTGCACTGCTTTAAGCTTAGAACTCCTATATCTCCCGTTTGAGTGAACCGATTGAGATGAAACAAAGCCTTGATGTTGCCCCAAGCTTCGCTTAACTAACCAGTGAGAATTGCATCAAAATCCGATAAGTAGTTTCCAGGTTAATCGCGCACAGACAGACAAACAAAAATTCCAAAAATGGTTTTTATGTTTCCTATAACTCTTTTTATGATACCCTATTTCATTTTTCATAAATATATTCAATGTACACGCCGATTCTACTCTCTTATTATAGTATAGATTGTTGTTACTTCATTGAGTAATTTCTAGTTATTATGTAAGTGTTACACTGTAGCTTACTTATAATAGTATAGGTACAAAAGGGACACGTTACGAAAAATTCACACACACAGTGGTAGTCTACATTGTTCTGGTGGAGTGGAAATGCAAATGGGGGATCAGGGTTTGAACTCTATAATCTGAGCTTTGTCGCCATCTTTTATGGTAAACGAATACGCAATTAAAAGTAATTGAATTAATTTATTCGATGTTTACCACGATTGATTAGATAATATCAGACGAGAGACGACGGGTCGTTAACAGGAATTATGCAATTGTATATAGCGTGGGGCGACGACTCGGCCTACTCGGAGAGCACGAGTCAGCTCGACTCGAGGCTAATTAGATAGGAAGTAGCTAATTAGATAATGATGTTGAATTGTGATGCTATGTGGCTACTCGAGTCGATTCGCAACTTTGTGGTCTGAACTAGCGATGGGCGTTGAATCAACGAACTAGTTGAATCAACCGTTGATTTCTTGCTAACGAATTAACTTTAGCTGTCATTGAAATTAACTAGTTGAATTCGTTAACGTCGTTTCGGAAATTTTGTCGTTGAATCAATTCGTTTAAAAACGCAGTCAACGATACGTTAAGTCAACGGAACATAAGCGTAACGAATTGAAAACCTTACGTTGAAAAAAAACGTCACAGAGTTGAGTTGAAATGTTTGTTTAATTTTATGAAGGACATGTTTAAGTTCGCTTTCTTTATTTTTGTTTGACAGTTTGTGAATAGTTGCGCGCAAGATTATAGAATATTTTGCGGCTTTGCGTAAATATTATCTGAACTTTACTTCATGTTTAAGTGTATAGAGGACTGTGGGTACAAAGTTAATTAAAAATAATTGAACGTATTAACAGTGAGTTATGGCTTCATACCTAAAAAAGACAGTTCTAGCGGAAAAGCTGTTTGTAATGTATGCGAGGAGAAAATATGGAACAAATTGACCACTAACTTTAAAAAGTATGATGGTTGATTTTGATAAGAAAAAAAAATAGTTTTGAACAAAAGAAAAAATATAATTCAGATTTGTTAGACTTATGCATAGATAGCTTTCATCCGTTTTCCCTAGTAGAAGAAAGAGCTTGCAATTTAACATACTTATGTATGTGTCACATTAACTAGTTGACAAATTTAACTAGTTGATCAACTAGTTGACGAACATGAATCAACGTTAACGTTAAGTTGAAGAAAATACCTTCAACGACCCATCGCTAGTCTGAACTAATCCTCTCCTTTTTCTATACACCTCAACCTCGAACATTGTCCGACGGTTGGGATTTCAAAGACAAAATTTACATACAATTGGCACTAGTGTACATTTTATTTCCAAAATCAATCAACAAAGGTGTAAATTATTCCAGCGCAGATCTCAACATCGTGTTTAAGAAAATACGACAAAAAATACCGCCATCTATCGCCTCAAAGTCGTACTTATAAAATGTAATTGTACATAGTCGATTGCTTATCGAAAATAAAGTTAAAAAAAGTTTCTGTTTTTATAGCAAAGAATTCGGAACAACTCGTGAGGCCGCCGCGTATAACGTCCGGCTTGCGTTCGGGCGACCGAGTTGATTCGAGTTGCTTAAAACTGAACTCGAGTTGACTCGTTTAAGGTTTGACTCGAGTTACTCGAGTCGCACATCGCTATAACGAACCGCGCGCGCGAGCCGCGTGTGTAACTCGGAACAACTCGTGAGGCCGCCGCGTATAACGTCCGGCTTGCGTTCGGACGACCGAGTTCGAGCTGCTTAAAACTGAACTGGAGTTGACTCGTTTAATGTTTGATTCTAGTTACTCGAGTCAAATAACTCGAGTCGCACATCGCTACCGTGCCTATATTGGTTCATTGGTTGTATGAAGATTCCCGTTTGATGCATATCATCTTAGTATTCATAGATAAAATACTAATATATGCTAGTAGTAGTAGTCTGTGTTATCAAGTTAGTATTAGTAGTCTGTGTTATCAACAATACTGAGCAAGCAACTTGTCGAATTATTGTCAATTGGGCATAAACGTAATGATTACCGTATTGATTACATTTTCTCTGATATTTGGTCATAATGTAATGTAGGTTGGTAATTTATAGCATAAATGAATTCTAAACCTAGAAAATAACTTGCAACCAAACATTAACCTTTTCGAATTATTTGGTTTGATTTGCATAATAAAAAATAAAATACGGTTTAAACAAAAGATACAGTTGGAAGTTGATATTTTTCATGTTCTCTAAATTAGTGATAAGTGGAAAAAAATTGTGAAATACAAACAAAGGCAATTAACTAGACATAGAAGTACAAAATGGATTGGACGCTTAATATTTTTACCCTCAATTGCTGGTAAATTTAATACGTGTTAACACGAAAAAAAATGCATCGTATTAATAGAATAATTAAACAAACTCCGTTAACCTTCTTGCATCTACGTGTTCCAGGGGAATACCAGTTGTGTCTAAAAATCGCAAAGAAAGAATACAAGCTATTGCCAAATATTTGATGAATAGTCCTCACACAATCGTTTGTCTACAAGAAATCTGGAGTGAAAAGGACTTTCTATTTTTAAAGGAAAGTCTTAAGGATACCTTGCCTTTTTCTCATTATTTTTACAGGTAAGTAGAAGACTAAACATAACAAAGAAGTGTGTCATCACATTAATGAAATAAATTATTTTATTTCTAGACGAGTTTTTTAGCTGTATACCAGGCATGCGTAAATGTTTAGCACAACTGGCAGACTTTATGTTTCAGTGGTGTCCTTGGCTCAGGTTTATGTGTTTTCTCCAAATGGCTAATACAGGATGTATTCTTTCATCAATGGCCTCTCAATGGCTATATCCATAAGATCCACCATGGTGATTGGTTTGGAGGAAAAGGAGTTGGTTTATGTCGTATACGATATAAAGATAAGATAATAAATGTATATTGCACTCATGTGAGTAATCTTTAAGTCACATCAGATTACACAATTCCAACAATGCCAAAAAGACAAAGAAGATATGCTTATACAGTACTATATGTGTGTAATGAAATTGAAGGAACAGAGTATTTTATTTGGTATAAAGAGTTTATGTTTAATGGAGAATAAAAGAATAATAAAATAGAGTTATTTATAAAAATAGCAAGACAAATGACAAATAAACTATTTCAAATTAATTACACTGTTTCTAAATATTTCTGCCTTTCAGTATTAGTCATAGATCATCCTTACTAATATTATAAATGCAAAAGTTTGTATGTATGGATGGATGTTTGTTACTCTTTCATGTAAATAATACTAAATGGATTTTAACGAAAGTTTACAATATATAATAAAATAATATAGCTTATGCATCAGAATAAAACATAGGCTATAATTTATATCCATATTTTTATGTAGTTCTATCTTTCTGTCTGAATGTTACGCCTTCAGCCTATTCTACACGGACATAGTCGGGGCAGCAGCTTGTATTATTTAAATGTGAACACAATATTCTGATTCTGTTAACAAGACAATGACAGCATATAATAAATCTTAAATTATATGTTAGACACCGTTTTGAAGCATACTAATTTTCAAATCATAATGCCTATTTTATTTAACTTTTAAATTGATATTACTCAGAATATATACTAAACTAAAGTAATATATAATAAACATTGAAATCTTTTGTATTTAAATTGATAATATTTTTCTTAATGTAAAAACTAAGAAATTCCTTGAAAAACTATATTATTATCCGGTAAAATATAATTTTTTTTTCAAAGATATTAATCAAAGCATTGTAGAAATTGCATAATTAACATAGATTTGCCAACCTATTTAATTTTGCAGCTACATGCAGAATATCATGAAGATGATATGTACTTAGCGCATAGAGTTCTCCAAGCATATTCAACAGCAGAATTTGTCAATTTGACAACATCTCCTGCTGATGTTTCAATTCTAGCTGGTGATTTAAACACAGCTCCTGGAGAGTTATCTTTTAGGTAAAAATCATTACATTTTTATTTTTAAAAATAAGAGCTTATGGTTTTATGGCTTCCAAACAAACAACAATCTGTGTTAAGTGATTATAAGTGATTATTGCTAGAAAAAATATTGTTACAGACTTGTTTCACAATTGCCTTCATTATTGGATCCATATGAATTGAAATGTGAAGGTAATAATCCAGCTATTGCCAAGCCCTCTGGCACATGTGATAATGTGAACAACAGTTATTCTGACTCCAAATTAACTAAAAGTATGCCTGAAGGGAAAAGAATTGATCACATACTTTTCAAAGTGAGTTCTTCATGGGAGGTAAGTTATCCAGTAGTTCTTCCTTACTAGAGAATCACTGCTGTTATGCTGAATATCCCTTCTTATGAGATATAGACGAGATTCCATTTAATAACGGAAAAACTAAATTGTCCACCTTATTACAATAACCAGTTTGAAAATATAATCTCTAACCAACAGACAGAAATTAGTTGCAATGACTAGCCGATATTATGTATATATTTGCAGCCAGTTCACTGAAACATATAAATTAAGTGTTAAATATTCAATGACATGGTAATTTTAAATAATTCAGTAAATTTTTAATACACTTCATATATATGTTAGTTAAACAATTTAATTAAAAAAGGACAGACAAAACTGGTGAAAAAAGCTAATTAAATCTCACTTTAACCTTGTGTTTTTGCAGGTTGATGTTATCAATTTCGGAAATCCATTGGAAGACAGGGTACCCGGTGAAGAGTTCTCATACTCTGACCACAATGCTGTGTCTTTAGAAATATGCATGAAAGTGAATAGTGAAAAGAAATCTTGTAATAAATCTAATCTCTTTGATGAAACTATAGCTCAAGCTATTGAAGTGTGCAAAGAAGCTACTGTCACCATAAACAAATCGAAACGCTTGTTTCTTATATCTGGTGGTATTCTATTTATGTTCCTATTGGGTACTGTAGGTTTTTGGCCTAATTATATTCTGTCTGATATTGTAAAAATTTTAATAACAGGTTTTTCTTTCTACTACATAATAATGGGAACATTGTGGAATAAAATTGAAATGAACAGTTTAAAGGCTGGTTTAAGTGCTCTTGAAAATTTCCGCAGATCTAGAAATGAATTGAAACTTTTTGAATAGAACCATAATGCAGAGAGTAATATAATTTTAGGCTAGTAAAATACATTTTTCAATGACATCTGTTACATACATGATTTATATAAAGTATATGTGATAAAGAACTTCCAGAAAATTGTCATATATACATGTGTAATTTTTAGGAAATAATGATCTAATATTATATAAAAATTGTGCATATAGATCAATATTCAAAGTAAATTAGAGACTTTTGTACATTTCCAGCTTAAACAGTATTATTATATAATAAACATATTTTTTATCACTATATTCAGAGTTGTTTACAAAATTAATTGTTATATACCTTATTATGCATATCCATTGATTAAGTAAGTTTTAAATAATTACAAAGAACCAAATAAGTATACTACATATTTTGTGTGTATAGATTATTTTCGTCTGTAGTTGTAATAGTTTACAAATTGGATAAATTTAGTTAAGTATACATAAAGTCTACTTAGGGAAGAACATAAAAATAAAGTTTGAATTTTGTTGGCCCTTTTCTGCTGTCATTGTTAAAGTCAACTCAATTTTTTTCTTACTAACCTAACCTAAACTGTAAGTGAATACTACTACAGTAAAAAGATATCAACAAATTAACTATAATACATTGTTATGGCACAAATAAAATAATAATTATTATTTCAGATATTTTGAATCCACTGCTGAACATCGGCTTCCCCCATAATTGCCAAAAAGCACAATCTTTTGCCACTTATCAACTTCCTCACACATTTGCACAAGTCGTTATCCATCTAGGGAAGGGACAAAATCTATACGTATAATAAAAATATAACCGATCATTGTCTGTACATTGAAGATATTTCAGAAAAACTTATTGGGGGCCATTATCAACGCAATAGAATCCAAAACAATGATAGTAAAAATTTTTGTCTGCCCGCGCTAATCTCCAAAAAGGTTTAACCAATTTGTATGCAACTTTCGCTAGAGCATTTTAGTAAGCTTTGCTTAATTTAAATCTGTTCATAACTAAAAAAGTTATATCGAATTAAAGAATTAGAAGAAATGACATTGAAGATTTGTGCGATAAAATGCTATATAACAGCTACAGTTGAATTAGATGAAACTGTAGTTAACTTTACAGGGAGGCTGTTCTAAATTTATCCATTTTAATATTAAATTCTACACATAAATAATTTTATATAAAAAAATGAATATTTAAAATCACTCGTAATTAATTAATTAGATTCATTTGAACTTATCTCAAAAACGTAGTCTACGTAATTTAGGGGCCACTCATTTAGTTTACGCGCGATCATTCATATGTAACACGCACACAAGTTCGTTTCAAAAGTATCCGACGCATTTATGAATCACTACCGCATTGTCAACGAGTTCTGTTTTTTAGGAAATAGAATTGCAATTCTTTTGAAAAAAAGTTTGTTTTTATTTTAATAAACGATTATACTACAGACTCTGAACCTCCTGTTTGAATTTGGGCACCTTACGAAAATCTGTACCCTGTATATTATGGTCTGTAAAGTGATGATGATTGTAAGTTTATATAGTTAAAAAACCGGCCAAGTGCGAGTCAAAGTCGCTCACGAAGGGTTTATATAAACGACCCACCAGCACTTGGTAGATTAAAATGTTATTACTTTGAAAAAACATGATGTAGGTACACAATTTTATTGTACTGTTAGAATGACTGAGCCCAACTTCCTTATGTTTGATTCGCCACTGGATCTGCTAAAAAGGAAATGAGCCAGAAACCGTGGAAAGCGGCGGGCCGTTGTCGACCTTAACCGCACTAGAAACTATTTTTAATAGTGGGACGGCCAAAAAAAAAAGGGTTTCTATATCTAATATACAAAATTCTCGTGTCACGATGTTTGTAATTGAACTCCTCCGAAACGGCTTGACTGATTTTCGTGAAATTTTGTGTGCATATCGGCCAGGGTGGAGAATCGGACAATATCTATTTATCGTCCCCTTAAATGTCCAAAACATAAAATTGTTTTTATATAATTTTTTTTGTTTTTATTTTTTATGATACAGCATACAAAAATACATAAAACCCAAAATTTTCACCCCTCTACGCAGACGTAGTCGCGGGCAGCAGCTGGTATAAAACTGAAAGGTTTGTTTGCTTAAACTCGCTAATCGCAGGGACTACTGGTCCGATTTGAAAAAATCTTGCACTGATGAGATAACGCATTTATTTAGAAAGGCGTGCTTTTTAAGCACGATATAAAATGTAGTACATGCGGACGAACTTATAGTTAAATACAATATATTGTTACGAGCTATTTGAATTACGAGGTATTGGTTGCGGTATTGGAGTGAAATGCCGTCCTTCATTTCAAACATTACAAGAGACATATCTCTGAGTGTCGTCGACACTCGTTACTCACCAATCCGTACACTTATACAGGCGCGTAGGCCCTTCTTTCAGTACACTAATGTTTTAAAATTAAATCAAATACGTCATTCAAGCCTGTTAATCCTGTAATCGTAACATTATCCCCCTCCAGGAGGTACACGTGTCAAAGTCATCATTATTGATCGATTAAACGTACAGCCTTGTTCGTGGAGTCTTCGTCAGTTACCCCAAAGCGGACGTCACCATCAATCCAGGTCCTTTTGAAGAATCTGCTCTTTCATTCAGCCCTAGAGGCGATATTGTTGTAGTTCTTTAGGGCCCTTGATCGAGTTATCTCACTTAAGCTTGAAGCGGCTAAGCCAATTCTTGCTGCCGTTGAACGTTACGAATTAGATTCCCATCGCGAACAACTCGGCGATGTCATGCAACAACAAAAATTAATCAGGCTCTTACGCATATTAGGCCCAGCACGTTCTTCAAGTATTTTTTACCTGCCTTCTTCGGCAAGACGTTCTTGTTGCTGTCCTCCCATATAACCCTCTCATCGCATTTACCACGACGGACGTGTAACTGTAGAACCAATCAGCAGATGTCGAGCTTGGAGCGGCTCTTGTGCATTCTGCGGACATTTGCGCACTGCGTAGCATCGTTCAGTTCCCCCCGCCTTACAATGCCTTGGGCGGCGGTTATCACTTAAAAATAGGTGAACCGCCAGTTCGTTTGCCACTTTATCACATAAAAAAAACATGGGCCTCAAATCGTTGATCAGGCCTTGGCTGTCGCTGTTCCCGTTATCCAATTCGGGCTCAATGTTGACGTTAAAGTAACTCTGGCCTCGGTTTTGACCTCTCTTCAACTTTGTGCTCATCACAGTCGTGCATCGGAGGCATTGACGTGCACCTTGGAAGTGGATTGTAGGTTCGTGAGGATTTGGGTGCCGCAATTGCAAATTGACCATGCTCTTTTCGACAGGTTCTGATCTGTTTGATCTGTCCGAAAAGCATTCGGTAGTTCCTCCCGTCGTAGTGCTGTTTCCTCCTGGCGGCGCGTTTATTAAATGGTACTTGCAGCCTGTGTGAACTGTATTGGGCCAGTAGCCGCCGCTTCTTCTTGTTCCTGCTGTGCATCCGCTCTGACGGATCGCTCCAACCTCAAGTGCAGGAGGCGGTGCTCCTCGATACCGCCCGTATCGCCGCCGGTTTCTCCCTTTCGCCCTAACCCATTTTGTCTGTCGTTTGGTCTCCCCTGCTGAGGGCTTCCGTCCGGTTGGGTCCTATTTATTTTTGTATTATATAAAATATTTATATCGATTTATTTTCATTTATAATATTTAATATATGCAATATATATCTATATATTTTTAAATATTAACCCAACCAGACGAGAAAACAAATAAATATCCCCCAAAATAATAATAATATTTTAGGACAAATTTTTAAACAACATTCTTAAGTCCCAAACTAAACAATGCTTTTACAATTAATGCAAAGTGTTTTAATAACTGAAAAAAGTATTTTAATAACTGGAAGAAGGGTTAAGATTAGGTCAAAGATACAATTACATTTGCTTAAATAATTTTCTGTACATAATGCATTTCTCTTCAAAACACTGTACATATCTTAATGTTGGAGTAAGGATTCGTGAAAAATTAATACAACATGATTTGTACCCAAAAATCATATATTATTCTCGATAATCATGTTAACACAAATGTATAGTATACATTTATTATAATAATAATAATCAAATTTTAACATCATAATATCACAATATTAACATATACCAAAAAGAGAAATATTACAATGTATTTTCGACACAACATAATTTAAAAAAATAAAGCAAATTACTATATGTAATAATTTGAATATTTCATATATTCTATTAAGATCATATGACTAGCTAAAATTACTTTTTTTTTAATTTAATTTAAAAATGCAACATTTTGATTCTTTATGAATATACTCAGAAATTAAATATGTGGAATTTATATATCTTACTGTGATGACAAGTTATTGCTATGCCATATTTTAAAAATATAAAGCATTTTATTTGCAAAAACAGACAGACAAATTTAATAATGTACATTTTAAATAAAAGTACTGTCTTAACTCACTCAGAAATAGCTTCTTTAGTTTTATATTGAAATACTTTGGTTAAGTACAAAATACTTGTGAATATGTTCAGAAGGAATGCACAAATACATTTAATTAGTATTATCACTTTCATTACAATTATTCAATTAATATAATCTATACAATGTAACTAATAATATCTTAATAAAACATATATTTTATATATTAATATTTATAATAATTGATATTTATACTTTCGGATCTGTTTTTCGGTTAGACTCATCAGATATATCAATAAGTGGGTCTGTTTCAGAGTTCAAAGAACATGTTGTTACAGTGTTCTCAACAGACCCATAAGTCGTTGATCTTATATCCACATTTGGCGGTTCCGTATTTAGAATAAGATTTGGAGCTGAGCTCGATGGAATTGGTTCACTCACCAATCTGGAGCTCTCATCATATCCTCTTGTCATATGGTACATTGATTTTCCCCTTAGACGTCTACTAAACGAACTCCCTGTTGTAAAATAAAATTGTGTTAATGAAAAAACAAGTAACATTACAATTGTCTGCTTTATACTAGCTTATATGATACATTTTCACCAATATTTGTTTTAAAAATTATTCGGACATGAGTATATATATATATATATATACATATATATGTATATATATATACGGCATGTCGTTACAACCGCGACAATAAATGAACACACGTCTAACGCTAATCCTTCCAATAATCGTAAAAAAATATAAAACGTAAAAAATCTGTTATTAAAAAATATATTTATCAAACAAACTAATATATATATATATATATATATATATATATATATATATATGTGTGTGTGTGTGTGTGTGTGTGTGTGTGTGTCTATATAGCATGTCAGTAATAACTTATCATTTGGTGAATTGATTCCTCATTTGCCTGCCATATATTTGCTATAGATACTGATTTCAAGTCATAGAACTTTTTGGAATAAATTTGCTAAATATGGCTTGCGGGTGGTGTGAGTTAGTAAAAATTGTCACATAAGCATTATGCTTCCACTATTTCCCTCTACGGGGTATTTTTTATATATCAATTCATAGTTGTCTAGTAGAAATTAAATTTAATTATGTTAAACTGGTATCACTAACTTAATTTAGAAAAATTAGCATACACATACCAACTACACCTAGATGTTCTGTTATATCCCGTTTAACATCTGAGACATCCCACATAGCAAGAAATGACCCAAGGCAGGAGCGATCAGGATCAAAAGGTGACACATATGGTTTGTATGAAAAGCTGTAGTGATGTGCTATTGCCGCCAAAAACATTTCAATACAAATGAGGAAATCCTGCAACCAATAAAGGTTTATTAAAAGATTTATTTCCTACGAGAGTTCAATTTCAACTAGTATTAGTATTCATTTTTTCATATGTAAATATGTAATTGAGGAGCTTACCTGTAATTTTGAAGATATAACTTTAACCTTATCTTTGTCAGATATATCAAATATTGTTGATATCACCCCACAATATACCAAAATATTGATAATGACACCTTGGCTATAAAAGATATACATAAAAAAAGGATTTTTAATACATTTTACACATAATTTTAAATAGTAAATATTTTGATGATAAAATCTTGATTTTTAAAAGTAGTATTAAGATAAAAAAAAACTTACAAGAATGAAAAGAACACAACAGCTTTAATGCACAAGAATTTTCCAATGGGCTTCATTGGTTTTAATTCTTCCTTATTTGCTCTATAGAATAATACCAGACAATACATTGCAACAAACTGTGACAGATTATTTATAGCAATTATATAAGGGAATGCTACATTTGAACTGAAGTCACTCTCTCCATATACACCGCAAAGTTCACAGATCATGGATATCACTGTTGTTAGTGGTCTTACTAATGTATATTGAAGTATTCCATGCTTGCAATTATGCACAAACTCACTAAAATATAAAGGTTACATATTATTTTGTTTATTTTTTTTTAAATAAAACACTTAACTGCTTGTATTAGTAACTAATAATTTAGTTGATTATATTTATGCTCACCTCCCCATTTCCCAAGGTGTTAAACAGCATAAAGGGAAGATGTGGTACACTTGAGGTTTAGTTTCAAGTACTGCTTCCAACTCTTGACCTTCATTAAGATAGTTAAGTAAATATATCATGAAATTGTAAATTACATAAGCTTCATAACATTCTCTTAAAGAGTCCATATATATAGATTGTTCAGGGAATTCGAGGCCAATCCATGCATTCAATGCATATATTGGAACCATCCATAATATTCTGTAATGAATAAAAAATCATAACAAATTTCCAAATATTTGAAAATAATAAAAAAAAAAAATTCTTTTTCAAAACTGAGCTTCTAGAAAAATATTCATTATCACAAGTATAACATATCCAAGAAACAAATTAATGTAGTACAATCCCAGATTATTGCAAATAATATAATGATCTGTATTTGTGTATTAAATAAATTTTATCTAAATAAATCAAATTAAAATTCATAGATTCAAATAGATAACTTACCTGATTATGTGTTTCTGTAGAGAAGGTTTTGTATAATGAACAATGTGTTGAGTTATTTGCCATATAGAAATAGGTAAGGCCATTAAAACAAATCCTCCGGCTACTAAAGAACCTTGATCAGATTTTGTAAATCCATTGTTTATTGAGTGAATGACCAATAATGGTACCAAAATAATTACCAATATAAAATATAGGGCGATTAAAAAAGGTCTTATCCAAAGCCTCCATTGGCTAAAAAATGATAATACAGAAGAGGAACACATTGCAGATATTATAACAGATAGTTGCAAACTAAACACTTCCGTATAAAATGACCATAATAAGAATTTCAAAGTCAAACACGGGAAAAGCGTATTTCCATAGTTTCATAGAATAGTTCCACTTTTTCAATATAAACAATGAAAATTCTAAAATCTTTAATATTAGTTTATGATTTTTAATATCTGAACTTTCATTCCAGGATTCGAGATACACTCGTCAAAAGTATTTATTTATTTAATCAATTGATAACTATTGAAAATTATTGACAATTTGACATAATACACATCAGTCAGGTTAGGAAAGGCCGAAAAATATTGATATATCGATATTTTGATCCGATAAATCGATATAAAAAATTAAATATTGAATCGTATAAAAAACTTCATTTTTATTCAAATTTTATTCAGCTGAATATTAACAGATTCAAAGCCGTTTAAAAAAAAATGGATGAAAAAAGGACTGTTGTTTATGACTACTGTTGTTGGGGATGCAGTGTTAGATTTTGTACCATAATTTTGCCATTTATACTACAATATAAATAAATATAAATATTTTAGGACACATTTTTACACAACATTCTCTAGTTCCAAACTAATCAATGCTTGTACTAACGGTACTACATAACTGATAAACATACTAAAACATACTTTTCTTTTGTAAATAAATACATATTATACAAATATAAACACCCAGACACTAGAAAATCTCTATGTTTATCACACAATATATTTCCAGTAGTGGGGATAGAACCCACATCCTCTGGCGCAGGAGGCAGGTACACTACCCACTACGCCATTCGGGTCGTCGAACTTTTTTCTTTTTATTGAAGTCATATTACTTTTGGTGCGTTTGGAAATAATTTAAAGTACGAAGCCTGATCTTCGTACTTTAAACTATCCATAATCTAAGGTACAAAATGGTATAAAGGTATTACAAATTATTAATATTGAACTGCATATTAAGCTAATTTATAAAAAGCATGCGAAATATTAACGGTATGAACTAAAGTTACTTTACTTTAATATTTAAATAAAGTTAACAAAATTTAATTCTGAATATCAATTTTTTATAAAAAATTCTTTCATAAACATATTTTAATTTAACCCCCTTACTTTTTTAAATTGTCGTTTAGCATATTCATGTCAATTAAACAAGTATAACTAGATTCTGTTGATCTAGGCGTGTCTTATAAGAAAGTCTCTGCGGGTTCCTTTTTGACCCGTTATTAACTTCGTTTTAAAAAAAATCTTTATGTTTTTCACAAAGTTACATGTTTTTGTTATTACTTATTTTTTAAATTCGTTTAAGAGCTAAATGATTTATCTTACTACAAAAACTGTTGATTTTTTTCCAATGAGGGTCTTGATCAATAGTACCTAGAAATTTAAATTAATGAAATTAATTAGATTATAATGAATAAATATTTAATGATTATATTATATAATGATTTCTTATACACTAAAGAAATGTGAATTTGATATAAAAATATAATAATAAAAATAATAGTATTATTTTATATACGTGATATATGTCTATACTCTTAGTTTTTATCTATAAACCCAACCAGACGAGAAAACAAATGAATACCCCCCCATCAAAAATAACAATAAAAATTTAATAAAAAATTAAAAATAAATCATTATTGAATCAAACAAATAAATACATAATTTTTTTTAAAACTGAAAATTTTACCGACATATAAATATATCGATATTTTTTTCAATATATCGAGGCCCATTGTGATATTTTTATAAATATCGATATTTTTATTTTTATTTTTTATTTCTTCACCATCATTCGGCATCCCTAAGCCAGGTCAGATCAGTCAAACCAAAGCTCAAAAAGAGACAGTACAGAGTGTTAATGTAATATTTTTTTTCTCACAGATAAAGCAATCATACTTCAGGCATCTATTACGAATTGTAATTGTGCATCGCAATTACAATTCGTAATGATTTAACTAATCAGGCAGGATATGAAGCAAGGAAACCTCTCAGATGGGGGTTGGAATCTCAGCAGCTTGGACTGTGATCCTATTCAGAGGAAGAAAATGTGTGCACTAATGTAAGAAGTTATACTTCTTAAGCATAACGAAAGAAAAATTAAAAGTTATGTTATGTGATAAATTAACATGGGTTAAAAAAAGAATTTATACATAAAAAAAAATAAAAAAAAAATATGTGTGTATCTTTAGCGTAACTACGGAATAATAGGAAACAAAAAACTTTATCCCTGTGCCAATATTTAAAATTCAAAGCATAACAGTTGGCTTAAATAACCGATGTTGAAATAATATTTATTTTGCAAAAAAGGGCCATAAGAACAATTTACAATCTTAATTTAAATGCATCTCTGAGAGATAAATTTAAAGAAATAAATATTTTAACCTTGGCCTCTCAATATATATATGAAAATGTAATGTAGATACATAGAAACATTAATAATTTTAATAAGAATACTGATGTACATAATGTACACACTAGGATCTAACACAAGCTTGTAACGCCAGTTACTAGACACTAGACTCCATAGAGTCAGTAACTCCTTCATGGGACGGTGTATACGCTTCAACAACAAAATCCCAGGTAATGTGCAAAGCTTATCTATTAACAGGTTTAAGAAATATATTAAAGAAAAACTTTTCTAAAAGGTTTATTATAATATAAATGAATACATTAACGATAATAACCCCTGGGAATGAGATGATCGCTCCTAAGCTGTTTCTAAAAAAAAAAATATGTACTGTATAACAATGTATTTGTTGAGAAAAAAAAAATGACAAAAAAGAGGATACCTACGGAGTTTCTTTCGTCTGTTTCTTCTCCGTTATAGGAACCTCATTACGAAACGGTGGTAGATTTAAAAAATGACTATCGATAAATGAAATGTATATTTCTTATTTCGATGAATAAATGATTTGAATTTGAATTTGACCTTGGAATTCTGAAAAAGTTGTTATTGGTTTCCTGCCGGCGCCTACAGCTCTATAAAGTACAGATTCGGCCGCACATGGAATACTGTTTTCACTGAGCCAAAATATCAGCTCCTTATATTTGACCGTATCCATTGCTGCTCTTCGTCAAACAGCCAATACCAACAACACCTTGATGGTTGACTCTCCACCACTGTGCGTATTATAACGCAAAAAAATAACTTCATCATTCAATTTTACCATCCTATTTTTTCCAAGCGCACCAAAAGTAATATGACTGCAATAAGAGTAAATAAACTGAAGACCCGATTGGCGTGGGAAGTAGTGAACCTGCCTCTTAGACCAGGGGGTGTGTGAGGGGTGTTTGGAATATGAATTTACAATGAGTGAATTCCTTGCACAATATAATATAATAGAATGGCCAGGTGGAAAATTAAAAAAAATAAAAATGAGAGTAAAATGATATTTAAAATATGAGAATAATATAATGGATCGTGTATACCTACAGTGACATGATGAAGTTAGTTGCAAAGTGATCAACTTTACGGTATTACCAGGGTTGCTGCTGCGCGTAGCTGTTATTAGATAACAGCTTTTTGACATTTAATACCAAGTTATTTATTTCAACCGTTATCAATTGGATTTAAATGTACTGGCACAGGGTATAAAATTTTTCTTTTGTACGCTAGAGAAGTATAACTTCTTACGTGCATCCATTATTTACATACAATTTTTTTTCATTCATACCATTTGACCTTACTCTTTTATTTTTACTTACTTACATTATTTATTTCTTTAAATAGTGTTTAAACTAGGACTAAACGCACAGTAGTTTTCTCAGAGAAGTATAACTTCTTACGTGCATCCATTATTTACATACAATTTTTTTTCATTCATACCATTTGACCTTACTCTTATATTTTTACTTACGTACATTATTTATTTATTTAAATAGTGTTTAAACTAGCACTAAACGCACAGTAGTTTTCTCAAGTTAATTTTGTTGTTACAGAATAAATAAAAATATAAATATGGTGTTACCAGAAAGGGTTACCTTGTAAAAAAAAAGACAAATCACTCGGTTTTATTTATCCGAAATTCCCTACGGAAATACCGAACCGATCACATCGCTGTCGAGCAAGTAGGTAGTGCTACAGAATGGGCATGATTAAATGTTTGTGATTCCTTTCAAAACACAAATTAAAAACGTGAAGTAAGAGTGATATAGTAATTTAGTGTTCAATTAACATGAGCTAATGGTAGAGACCCACTTATTTGTGCATTTACAGTTATTCATGTAACACGTATTTTGTGCATAGAGTTCAAGCATTGAATTAGGCCACATAGCGATCTCTCCCTAAATTACCGCTGTTCAGCCTGTCGACGTATCAAGACAGACTATCAAGTAAGCGAGTTGCATTTGTCGTTTATTATTGCAAAGTTTATGGTTTTGTTTTCATATTTTGGTTAAAATCCACAGGACAAGCATAGGATAATATAGATAACGATTCTAAATAGTCAATCTTTAGGCGATAATTTGTATGTTTTCGTAAATGGGTCAACTTGCTATTCTTTATAATATAATTTATTCATATTTTTTATTACGAACCAAATTTAGTAGAATCTGAAATGTAATAATCGTGAAAAATAGACCTTTTATTTATTGTTGATAGATTCGCGAGAAGGGAGAGTGATGATCAGAAAGGCCGCGACCTGGTAATGTGATGTCATCAAAAGGGGAAACGGAGGCCGATTCTGGCACGGTGTCGCCGAATTTAACAACAGTCAAAAATGAACCGGTACTGTGTTACTAATACAGTTATCTTATAACTCCTAAAATAAATCGTTTTTATTATGATAATTTTCTTTTAACCTAGCAGTATTTATATTAAATGTTTCAATTAAGGAAATTATATCATATTAATAATTAAACAGACTTCAACTTTTCTGCTATATTTTAGTAGTAAATTTGAAGCCTGTTGTGTTTTAAATTATAGGTCCTAATTATTATTTACTTTATTTTAATTATATTAAATTTTATTAATATAGATCATTTAACATGGTGTATACTTGAATATTTTAAAAATTGTGTAATAAATATATAGGGATCATATAAAAGATATTTCTTCAACTAAAATAAGTCTTAATAAACCTAATTTTTTTCCACTTATTTCCAGGCCGCTACAGCAAGCAAAGACACCCCGAAAAGGGGTAATAGCACATTATTAAAATGTACAACTTGCAACAGTTTTAGTACACTCAGTAGCCGTGCTTTAACTACACATATGGCTCAGTGCTCACCTGACAACAATAATGTGGCAGCAGCACAAAATACTGATGCACGACCACACCGAAAGCTTTTTGAATGTGATGTGTGCAATATGAAGTTTTCTAATGGTGCTAATATGCGTAGACATAAAATGCGCCATACCGGTGTTAAACCATACGAATGTCGCGTATGCCAAAAAAGGTTTTTCAGAAAAGACCATTTAGCTGAACATTTTACAACACACACAAAAAGCTTGCCATATCATTGCCCAATATGTAATAGAGGTTTTCAACGTCAAATTGCTATGCGAGCACATTTTCAAAATGAACATGTTGGTCAGCATGACCTAGTTAAGACTTGCCCACTCTGTAGCTACCGTGCTCCTACTATGAAGAGTTTAAGAGTTCATTTCTTTAACAGGTAAGATACCGTGTTTTTAACTCTCCTTACTGTATTAATGGGTGCAAAATAATTCTATATTTTGTATTTTTCAGGCATGGCATTGATTTAGACAATCCAGGTCCGGGGAACAATTCAGTATCACTTCTCGCTGCTGGTATTGCTAATGCAGCATATACAGATGGTACAATAGATGCTAGTACAATTAATGCCTTAGGCTCCCTCGGTTCTGGACTCTCAGTGTCTGTAGCTGCTGCATATTCAGACAGTGGTGACAGTAATGGAGAACGATCTGTAGACAATGCAACACCCCCAATGCATTATTTGACACCCCATGTAGAAATATCCATGCCTGATAATAATGAAACCTATTCTCCTGGCCAGTCAAACCATTTAGGGAATTCAGGTAACTTTCACAAGATAATTACTAAAGTAATAATATGTAAGTACATGATATCTTAAAAATATCATTTTCATCCAAATATGGATTATATTTATTATTATCAGAGTCACGAATTAATGGGGAAGGCCCTAGTTCACCACAATCCGGCGACAGTGCTGTGGCTAGCAGTTCGTTATCAGCTGGTCTTCCCACAAACATTACACCATCTATTACTCTCATACCAATCAAACAGGTAAATAATTTATATGCTTAATTTTTTGATTTAAATAATAGTCTTCGTGGGCTTAAACCCACTCTTATAAGGTAGACAAAGAAAAATTGTGAAAAGACAAGAAAAAAATGTGATTCTTGTTTGTGGTAACTTATGAACATATTAATTTTTATGTAAAATTTTTGACATTTCATAAGAACGCGCAAGCATCTATGTGAATAAATATATTTTTGATTTTGATTGATTTGTGGTCATACATTTAAATGTTCTTAATGATAATATCTTTTTAATAATGTATAAGTAATAACATTACTAATCAGTTATTATGAAACAGTTCTTAGGAGTAATAATTAATTTCTTTGTTGGTGGCTTCTTTTAAACATTTCTGCCAATGCCATGCTAGTGGTGGAAGTAAGATAATTATTAGATATATATAAGTTACATAAATTATTGTTTTTAAATTGTTTGTTGGTAAATGCTTGATTAAAAAAATTATGAAACAAAGTATTTTGTATAGTAAAAAAATAAAGCCGTTTCAGTCTTTAATTGTTGAGAAATTAGTTCAACTTGGTTGGTTTACCACAAAACCTATACATCAATTGACTCTTTATAAAGCAACAGACATAAAAAAATATTTTGATATTTAGTGATCAACTACATATTTAACAGTGTAATTGTTTTTATTGTTTAGCTTACAAAACTAATCTTTTGAAGTGCTGAAATTTCTATGAAGCCTTTTTGCTTTTATTATTGTTAAGTGCCTTAAAACAACAAGTTGTAGAAAAATTCTTATTGTTACATGAAGATGATTCCACCATTACTCAAGATGCACAAAATACTTAAAAAAGTAAAGATTTTATTATATTGTACGTCCGTTTCGTTCCTATGGTATCCATGATAGACTAGAATACATACATTCCTTATGTGTCCAAAATTACTTCAAAGTACAATTGATTCTTATCAAATTTCAGGAACCTCACACACAGGAAGAAGGAAGCACAGGAGAGATACGAGATAGTGAAGCAAATGGTGGTGATAAACGGGGTGTTTCTTCAAGTTTATCATCATTGATCAAAGTATCACCACTTAAGAGTCTGCTACGAGAAGACCTACGAAGACGGATTTCGGCTCGTGGACGTTCACGAGGATCAAATGTGAGCACTGTTTTTGATATTAGGACCCTACCCTAGATATAGTGCAATAAAATAGCCTGTAAATAAAGAAAACCCAAATTAAAAAAAAGTACTTAAAATTACCTCATAGGAGGATAAACTTTATAAACTTTTTTGTGTAGGATTTGTAAGGTTAAAAACTTATTAGGGCAGTTGTAAAGCAGGAATAATTACATAGGAATAAATTGCATATAAATCCCTCAGTCCAAAAAAATGATTTTTCCTAAATATGATGCTGTTGATTTGTCAGTAATTTTTCCAATAAAATTAATGAAAGTGATAATGAATCATTTGAACAGTTCCTGTTTGATAACACAATGCAAAACATTGGATGGTAAATAAACTTTTACAACATCTTGGTGGTTCTCAAATGGGTACACATACTTGAGTCCATTACTTTTGGAGGTGAAGTGAAGAAAAATATAAGCCAAAACCTCAAAAAAAAATGTCATTCCACACGTAATTTTTTTTAGTTCCATATACTAAAAGTAAGGTTTGATGTAATTAGTAATATTCCAATATCATAAATTTGAATGATTATTAATGAAAGATTAGATATTTAAACATGTTAATATTCAAGTTATATGTCAAATACTCTTTTCACAACGCTATACATAATAAGGTTTCTGTAAAACAGTAGTGTGGCAGTCAACATAATTTTAACAAAATAATTCTGAAATAAACAAAAATGGTATTTTGTATGAATTAAAATTCGCATGAAAGATGTTCAGTATGTATTTAAGAACTTAGTTTGCAGAATGAAGATAATTTAAATTGCAATTTTATAAATTTTTTTTATTCATATTTTCAGACTTCTCGAGCGTCCCCATCTGAAGGGGGTGTAATTACATCGACGCATGGCGATGCAGCTATGCTTCCCTCGTCACTTGTATGTACATTCTGTTCTATAACTTTTCCCGACTCAACACTGTACTTCTTACATAAAGGATGCCACTGCGACTCCAATCCATGGAAATGTAACATCTGTGGGGAACAATGTTGCAATGTTTACGAATTCAACTCCCACCTGTTGAGCAAAAGTCATCAATGACTGTTTGCAGGGGGGCCGTTCGACAGCTATTGATTTAGTGTTATATGCAATGCACTTTTCGCATAATTTTTGTGCATAGTACGTAAGCACTTCGTAAGTACTTCACCTTATTGTTTTCAATGATTTTGGTGCACTATCTTGATTTTTATATGTCGAAATGTTTCATGTAAAAAAAACTTTGCACTCAAGGTGAATGTGCTTCGAACATGTCTTACGCTGAACGTCCCCCCGAAGCTGTAATCTTTTAAAAAAAAGTGCAAATTACTTTGAAAGTTATTTAGTGGTTATAATAGGTAATGATCAGTTATTTGTATGGATAATCTAGTATTTAATTGAAAGGGTAAGATGAGGTAGTATGAAATTAGGTAAAATATGGAATTCCCTTAGTTAGAATGTAAAGAAAAAAAAATGTTGATTCATGAGATTTTACATTCCAAGTTGAAACATGATGCATTCCATGATATGAGATTGTTTAACGAAATCTGGAGCCTTGGGTGGGGAATGAAGTGATACTTTAAATTTTTGTGTTGAAATGATTTTTTTATTTTGTTTATTGTTTTATCAAAATGTACTTAATTGTACATCAACATTTTCAAAAATTAACCTATAAGAAGGAATTTTGGTGCGATAGTCAATTTTACAAATGTTTTTAAAACTTAAAGCGAAGAGTGTACAAATTAATATATTTTTACATTTCAATATTGACAACATGTTAATAGAAAGGCTAAGCCTATATTCCCATTATTGTTTATTAATGTGATTGTATGACAGACAGGAATTATAAATTCTACATTCCATTTATGTTGTCCTTAATGCATGTGATGCAAGTCCACGACTAATACTTAATGTACAACTTAAAAAAAATATTTTTTGTTATTTATTTATTAACTTAAATTACACTGGTTTAGAAGTAATCATACATACTTAAAATTGACACCCATAAATATGTAAGGTATAAGAAGTAATAGTATGAAAAAGGCACATTTGCTCAATGTTTTCAACAAGGCTCAACAGTTAGGGAGAATGTTAGATGTTTTATTCGCACAAAATTATAGATTTGTTTTACATCCATGAAGATTTGTTATATCGCGTGCTTGTGTCTGGTGCCTGTATATTTGTTTATTCATATTTTTGTTTATTTTTGTGTTAAATTAATTGGCAATGATTTAATCTGTTATTAATATCTCATATGAATAACATGGAGAAGTTATTCATTTTACTTTGTACTTATATTTTTTTCGGCCATATGTGCTCAATCTGGATAAACAAAAAGATGAGACGTATACTGTCCATACATTTTCATGAAAATAAGCATATGATATTAATTTTTATTAAAAATATGCATTGCTTTATTCTGTACTTATCATTAATCTTATATCATTGGTCCGATCCATTACCATTGGAATTAGATTACCTTACCTGAGATTTATATTCCTGTAGCTTATAAGTACTTAATATCGGTTGTGGTCTTGCCTGTTAAGTTTACGAAATTGACTTACTTGGAACTGAAATTATGTTTACCAACGAAGTTATGAATTTTGTTTTGTTTGAAAGTCATAATACTTTGCTACTAGTATAGAGAGTCGGTGTGCGGTAGTCCGTCCTCTTTAGTGGACCTAGTGAGTTACCTGAAACAAGCAACACATTTATTTATAGAGATTCTTATATAATGCTGTTTCATTGTTGGTTATAATATGTAGACTTGGATTTTTACTTTTATTTTTGGTCCCTACCGTTGCACCGCAAGTTAGCTAGGTATAGACTTATTTAAGCGCTATTAATATTATTAATTGGTAACCCCATTGGGCGCCTTTACTTAATCCGTCCATATCTAACGATAGATATTGCCTTTAATATTTAATAGAGTTAATATATTTATAGTATATAGAGTAGAAATAAGAGATCTTAATTAAAAATGTTTACAGAATGAATTACAGAGTTTTACGAAGATAAAAATCAATTGTGTAAAATGGACAATGTCAATAGATCAAGTAGAGGGTATTTATTGTACAAAACATACCATATTATATTGGTACAAAAATAATAATGTTTCCTGATGCTTAATTTATTTGATATGAGCCAGAAACCATTTGTTGATTGTTACAGTTTGTGAAAAAGTGTTAAGGTAGTTTATAGAATCAGATGTTGGTATGGACCATTACTGCAGTGGTAGAGAACATTAATTTTCTAAAATCTGTACATGGAATAATCTGTAATCTGGATATTTGTATTCAGGCAAGAGGATCATAGTAAATTAATATCCTCTTCCATTGTTTTTCTTTATTTTTCTGTTGTAGCAATAATCTTTATGGGTATGAAAAATAATTGAGTGTTTTTAAATTTAAAAAAACTGTATTGTTACAATTGTACACCAGTTTAAATCATTTTCAAATACATTCCACAATTTATTAATTTTCTTGGTATGTTATTTACGTTTGTTGTTTGAGAGTTATTAAAACTTAATGTTAATGTTAAAAATTACATTTTTAAAATTTTGAAATTTAATATCATTGTCAGAATTTATACTATAAGTCACAGATTTTAATTGATACTCTTACTTGTTATAAACAGAAATGCTTTAGTCTAGCAATCCTCACCTTAATACCAAAACACAGCTTACCAACTTTTTAATTTTGTTTTAAGTTGTTATGTGTGTAATATATAAGATAGATAAATGATTAAAAGCAATTATAATATATAAAGGTAGAAAAGGATTGAAAACATCGTTGATATTTTCCTGTTAAATTTATTATGTTATAAATATAATCAAAAGAGAAATATAAAACATTAACATTAAAAATGGTTACTGTTGATAAGGAGTCTGTTTGAAATAATGAGTGATAGTTAACTATATCAAATTTAGCAGATTGTGCCTTAGATCAGTAATAAATTAAAAAGTATGTTTAACAACATTTTCGATATTTGTTTGAGCAAATATGATATTTAGATGTGTGGATTTTAAAATGTTTCAAATATAAATTTATTATATATTTACAAAGAGAAGATATATAAATAAAATAAATGTTATTTATTTACATAAATATAGATAAATGTTTGCAATATAGCTGTTTTGCTTGTTTTTATGATAAAGTTTATTTACGGTTGAAACTGAGTGTCGTCCGATCGTCTTCTGGCGATTTAAAATATGCGAAAAAGGAATGGTACTTACGAGTATGTAGTTCTATTTATTTACTTATAAATAATTTGGTAAAGGGTCTACTGAAATATTAATAAACTATGCGATAAAATGTCTATCTTTATTTTTTATGCCACCAATTTCCTGACCTATATTGGTACTGTCTTGTTACTGGCTAATGCAATTTACATTTTGATGATCTTATCTCTGTCAACTACAAAAACAAAATAAGATTATTGGTGGTAACCACTGGTAATCTCGGCCTTTGTGCCCACTCTAATATAACATTGTTACTTTTAGACATAATAAAAGGCGTAAGAAATAATTTGTTTAATAGGATTAGATTAGACACTACTATAGACTGTATATGTAAGACAGATGTTTGATGATGGATGATGTGTAAGACTATAGCACAATAAATGTAAGACAGATGTTAGAAAATTTAAGATTGAATTACAAAAACTAAAAAGCCTTACACGATTTTTCCCCAATTATTGATAAGACTTATCTTCATGACCTAAGAGATGTTGGTATAAACAAACTGCTTTTTCTTATAGCAGAAGCTGTGACAACTTTTGATAATAAAGTTCTGTAACTGTTGGGAACAACCAAATTTCATACATTTTACAATGAAATATTTGAAAACTAGAGACCTTTGCTTGATTTTAAATGATATTATTTTTATAGTGCTATTAGCTGTTATCCGCGCTACGGAACAATGAATTGTTTATCATACTTTTTTTCCGAAAAAAGGAGCTCCTTTACCTTGGCTCCTACTTTCCAGAATGTGTCCTTGGAGTTTACCGACCGCCTAGATTTGTTGGGAGTCGAAATATCCTCAAACCTCAACTTTGGGTGGTTCATCGATTCTAAAGCCAGGGCAGCTGCGAGGAAGTTAGGTCTACTACTTCTCACCGGGACAGCTCCTTATTCTTTACAAAGTTCAAGTCCGATCGTGTGTGGAGTACTGCTGCCATATCTGGGCTGGGGCTGCAAAATGCTACCTGGCTGCCCTTGACTCAATGGAGAGGCATGCGGAAAGGCTCATTGGTGACCGTGATTTGGTTAAAACCAATCACACTAGCCTTGAGCACAGGCGCAGAGTAGCCAGCCTCTCGGTTTTCTACAGAATGCATTTTGGAGACTGTGAGTTGGAGTTTCACGATTTGATTGCTCCCGCCCGTTTCCATCATCGGACAGCTAGACGTTCGGAACAACGCACAAGAACGAAGAGATTCGCATCGTAATTTATCATCCGTACGACTAAAGAATGGAACAACCAGCCGGCGTCGGATTTTCCGTCCGATTATAACGTAAGCGTCTTCAAGGCAAGAGGAATAGGCTTTTACTGAGCTAGCGCGCAACCACCCACGGCTGCATCGCCACTTACCATCAGGTGGGATGGCAGTCAAGCGCTAGTCAGTTCCATATATTATAAAATACATGATACATTCCTAGTACAAGGATAAATAATGAAAAGTTCCACAATTAAGAGATACTAAGAGGAACCCGAAGTAATGCTGACCACAGACATAGTGTATGTACTCTAACATGTTGCTTGTACTCTGGAGTTTTAAGCTAACCTCAGAAGATGTAGGCCGGTGAATATCTGGTGAACTCTGCTTGCGTATATAGCCAATTCTAAAACGAAGAGCGCATATAAGTGTGATTTGGTTTTCAAATGGGTGTGTTTTTTCTTTTGATGTGTTTTCAGCTATACGCGTAGACGATATGACATATCTTTCCGTTTGGGAATAGAATGTAAAGATTCGAGGGATTGGACACACGCGAAACAATATAATTGACCATGGGAGAAGCACTATTTATTTTTGTTTTTCTAAGGTCAACCCTGCAGCCTTAGACCTAGCGCTTTGTTTATGATCATAGCAAAACAAATCTTAATAAGAAATTGCAGCCTTTGGGACTGGAATGGAAGATCTGTGGGAACTATAAGGATTCGTAGGATCATTAAATTTTCACCCTTTCCTGTGCCGATTAAGATGGTGGCACAAATATATTCCATCCAAGTTAGTCAAGAAGTGTCGTGTTACATAATCAAAGGGCATCTAAATTTTGCATAAGCATGACGCCTTATTTTTAATTGGAGCTATTACTATTAGAGGGTATAGCAGACTGCTCAAGAGAATTTACAACCTCTACGGGATATGAGGTGCTCTGTTCTGTCCAGAACTGTCTACAGACATATACTCTGTCGTATACAATAATATGTCTGAATTTATTTCGTTTATAGTATCTTTTTTAAGTATTAGACTTACACATATAAATTAACTGTTACCCGCACACAAAAATCATACCATAACCTCGCTCTGTTGAGTCGTGAAAGAAGATGATTGTTTGTCATAATCGACATTTATAATATCAGTATTGAAGAATGGATTTCCAACTGTAATTAAACGAAGTTAAAGAAGGACCAACACATTGTTACTTTTAGTATGGAGTGATTGAAATACGTATCATAACGGATATTCACATCGGAATGAGGTGTTTTACCGTGGTAAAAAGTAGTCTAAGTCACTGTTCAGCCTTCTCACATCTCCACACACAAAAATCATAACATCGCTGCGTTGCGACGTGAAAGGAGGACAAACAAACACACTTTCGCATTTATAATATGAAATATCGATTTACTTTTCGCCGCTGTGAAGATACGCTCGGGTCTATTATTAGTTTTCTGTGCGCCCGACGCTCAAGCCACTGTGCCACTTACACCCTGATTTACACCGGTTAAGTGTTAATTGAAGTTCGTAAGTAGAGTGGTGTAAACCATAAGATAGTAGCGAGTCAGTTTAGCTTGCAAGCTGCCTTGAAATTATACCCAAATAGAATCGCTTTCTATTTTTTTAATAACTCAAAGTTTTGAAATGAAACTGTAACGCAAAATGTAGCTTATTAAAAAGAAAACGAAATAATAAAATAATAAAACTACCTAGATATATTAAAACTACCTTTATTTTAATTATTTATTTAAAAATGATCAGCCGAATTGTACGTTAGAATTAAGTAATCTTTAAACAGGCAAATTTAAATAAAATAAGCCTTTGAAATTTATTAAATAAATAATAAAATCCACAGATCCACAACCAAAAATTTCACATAAGATATCGAATAGGTAAGTAAATATAATCATTTCATTTTATGAAATTGCCAGTAATTTCTTGTGGTAGAGCCACGCAATAGTCTTACCTGTTGCACCAATGGGTAGGTCCGTCCGTCTGTACCACTGTGTTTCTGTGTGGGAGATGTAGCCAGGGCCCACTTTTTTAAAAAGTGGCAACGTATCTGCTCTCCTACGGGTGTGGCAAATGTGATCAATGGACGGCAGTTATCACTTAACATCGGGTGAACCTCCAGTTCGCTTGCTACATTCTCACATAACAAGAATAGTATTTATGTCCATTATTTTTTAAGTTATACTCGGGACTTAATAAAAAAAAACGGAAATAATCGGGACTAATGCAGATTTGGCAAAATTATGAGAATAATTTGTTTACGATGCGCGAGCGCACCGACAGTCAAAACAAATAATCTCGAGGTGCATCCGTCTTCCTCATCCCCGTGTTAAACTTATTTCCTGCCTCTTACAGCCTCTTTGTTAACATATCTGTAGCATTAGCTATCATCATCATCATTTCCACGGAATAGAAAAAACAAGTGAAACTGAAATACTGTTTTCTCTATTCCGTGATAATTTCTTTCTGCAAGCGCTCACTGCTGACCATTTGTTTTAAATTCCAAGTTATCTATCTAACAATTGCATTGAATGACTTTTTCACAAACAAAGGCAGCAAACAACTTTTTTTATTTTTTTTTGTTATATTTTGTATAAGTATGTACTCACATATTTTTTTTACCAAAATCATATTATCACTACATCGTATAAAAAAAGTCGTCTGATGTCCGTCTGTCCCCATGTATGCTTAGATCTTTAAAACTACACAACGGATCTTGATGCGGATTTTTTGCCAGATAGAGTAATTCAAGAGGAAGGTTTATATGTATAATACATTGCACCCAGGCTAAGCCGGGGCGAGTCGCTAGTGTATAAATAAGTAAATAAAGTAATTTTTATTAATTAATTTAAAAAAAGTTAAAATTTTCATAAAACTTATTTTTTTTAAAGTTTGATTAAGATATTCGATTACTTTACTTTGCGTCTGTACTTTTTGTGAATTCTAAAATATTCATGAAATCAAAAAAACATTTTACAGAATTTCAATAGTTTTACCTGAATAATATTAAATGTTAAAATTGAAACACATGAAAGATTGAATTGTGGAAAAGTTTTCGGCGAATTGAAACGTATCTACAGCAAGTTTTGGATTAACTTTAATCAGTTACTGTCATCGCGTGTGAATTTGTCAAATGAAAGTTTTGTTGACTTAGGTAAAAGTTTATTTTTGATAATAGTAACTTATTTTGTTTCGTTAACATTTATAAATTGTAGTTGAAAGGTTTAATTGTTTCTTAATATAATTTATTGTGAAGTGTGATGGGAAAATCAACACAAGTTGATGGCGATAATAATCCAACTTCGCTGGAGTCAGATCCCGCTAAATTATTGGAAGCAGCTCTTCTCCAAATGGATGGAATTATAGCCGGTAAATTGCATTAAAGTATAATTTATTCGTATTTTCTGCTTTGTATAAACTTGTTAGATGTGCAATAACTGAATTTCTATGGTTGGCTGAGTATTGAGGTCTTCATTTCCTCTTGTGAACTATTAAATTATTTTTGTCTTGTCATGATAGTCCCTTAATTATTAGTTGTTATTTAGGCTGTATTTTATACAGTACATAAGCTCTTTGAAATTATTCATTGTTAAAAAATTTTTACTTTAATATTTTAAATTTTTGTGTATTTTGTGATTATTATTAATTAAAACTAAATCACCAGTTATAGAAGCTCACAGCTCTTATTGTTAGTTGAAAATATGAGCTAGGCATTCACTTTTGTTAATATTGTTATATAAAAAAATATTTTGATAATAGTAATTTGATGAGATCCTAAAATGTAATACAAGTCCTCAAATGTACTCTTAATTTTGGTTATTTCAATAGAAATTATTTTATAACCATACATTTAATTCAAAATTAAATGTATGGTTATAAAATATTTATTTGTCATTCGAATGACAAATATTGTGCATATAAAATTCTTGTACATTTTGACATTTCTGCTTAAAAGTATTTATTTATGTTATTAGCTTGTACTCTGCTCTTCATTTGTTTTTACTTTATATAAAACTAACTGATCCGAAAAACATTGTTTTGCCATATGAATTATTTCTAGGGTAAAAAAAAATGTTTAGTGTGGGTGGTCCACCCTTAACATTTAGGGGAATGAAAAATTGATGTTGTCCGATTCTCCACCCTGGCCAATATGCTCAAAAAATTTCATGCAATTTGGTCAAGCCGTTTCGGAGGAGTTCAATTACAAACACCATGACACAAGAATTTTATATATTAGATTATGGAATCGAACACTATGTAATAGCAAAATTATCCTTCATTACAGCATATAGTATATTTTCTTTTGAGCTTTTGGTACAAAGATGGAATAAACATATTCTTAATGAAGATTTTTTTTACATTAAGTTTGTGTGATTTAAATATATCTAACCTGCTTGCGAGGATAATCTAGTTTCAAGATGTGTAATTATTACAAGTACATTTTATATTCATTGATAACCATGATGCTGATCTTCGAAATGAGAATTTTAACTTAAATTCTAGTAGCTAAAAAATGACTATTATTGGTTTTAAATCTATATATATTTTTTTATTACTCTCACTTTTTTACTTTTTCATGACTTTTTTATTTATATCGATATCTGATCATGTTTTTCATTCTTGCCTGTTTGAAAATTTAGAAAAGAATACCAAAAGAATAATAAGACTGATTAAAAGAATACCTTTACCAAGGGAATTAAGTCGAAATGATAACGCAAAAAAGTTCACGCCTCAGTAGTTGGGTATACACCCCCATTTCCCGCGAGAGGGTGCAATCTGTTGAGCGGAGGGTGTCGCGTCGCCAGTCAACCACCGCAAGCCGCCGGCTCGGACGTGCCGCGCTGTCGCCATTTCGCACGTGGCTCCATCGCGAATACAGTCACGTTATACTCGTAGTGGTAGCTATATTTTTGAGAGTACGGTTTACGTGCATTTGTCGACGTAACGTCCTTTAGTTACGGTGGTATTTTGCATTAAATATTTTAATTTGTATAATACATTTTAATGCCTTATAATGTACCTAATTTTGTAAAAACGATACGGAGATATAATGCTGAATTTTATGTCACTTCTCTGTTATGTTTCGTCCAAAAATCTTTTCACTCTTAAACGATATTCGTAGTATGTACCGTTCGCACATGCTCAATATCAATATTGTTACGGCTTGTAGTTGCGAGATATGCGATGCAATTATCTCGCACGGGCATAAATTGAACGATCGTATCCTCACTGCATAATTTTTTTCTACACCATTTGAAGAATAAGACGACTCCTTCATAAATAAATTTCTTCACATCGCTTTATAAAATTTCAAACACCTTTTATTAATAATATAAATCACGGACACATAAATAATGACCAATTTCCATTTTTAGATCTTTCGATCATTAATAAACTACTTTTTTTAACTGAAAAACGACAAACTCTGATCGACTTGATCAATTTGATGACTAGTGTAGCAAATGTTATAAAAAGATGAATTATCATTTGTATCACTGGCTATGTCGAGATAAGTTGAAGACGCGTTTTTATCACATGTCGCAATTTCACGCGGAATAGGTTTGAACGTAACATTTGTAAACAGTAGTTCGGCTTTTGTTATTGGGTACTGGAATATTTTATGACAGAGACGTCATTCAATAAATATGGTAAGTTTTTAAACGTAAACACATAAATAAAACGAGTTCTGAAAGTTCTTTTCGAATAAAATTGTGTTCTAATGGAACAACGCGAAACTCCTACGTCCTAATTATGATTATTGATTTCCAATCAGGCAATTGTTATCGTATTTCAGATTATTTTGCTAGCGAGATCGGAAGCAAAAGTTTCTGTAGGTGCGATAATGAATTGTTAACGTCCGATTCGTAGGACTTGTATATAATTATTTTATAGCAGCGAATGGGCTTCTCTACGTTGTTTCACCGAGAAGCCTTTTTGATAGAGACGTATTTAAAACAGTTTTCTGGTTCAATTGATAACCAGGTAATTTGGTTAAACAGTAGCTCGTTAAAATCCGATTCTGAATTCAAAATATCGTAACAATTGTTAATACTTCTAACTTTCTGTGGATTTAGACCGCCTTACACGTTAAATTTACCTTTTGATTTTTTTTCCTGCGTATTGTCTTAAATATTTTCCGTTGATTTTATGCATCTTCGTCATTTGCGCTATTTAATTTTCTCAAGGGGTGCCGTTTTTTTAAAGGTTTCCTTCTGAATATCGAGTTTTACATTTTATGTATCTCATAGTATTGTCATTGTTAGTAACTGTTGATTGTAGCCAACCAATGGTTGCGATAGTGCGGTGTAATTCTGTACGCGAATACTCCGTTCAGGAAGGTCTGTGTGAAAACCAATTTTTTTGTGTTCAGTCCTGGAAGACTAAGCTGGTGTTGTTAACGGTATACAATTCTCCAAGTCCGTTGTGGCAGTCAAGCATAGGCCTGTGCTGTTCTATGAGTCGCTCGTCCGTGTAACTCACAAGATCACTGAAGACATGCGTGAAGTAGAAGAGTTTATATTTTTGGGGTAATGAGTGAGGTAATCCACTTTCCCACACTTTTTGGGACTCACTTTCTTCAAACACGGCCACGAAATTTGCCCGCTGGATTGCTAATTTCTCTAATAAAAAACCGTCCTATATTTCGTAGTACGTTTTGTAGAGGAAAAATCACACCCATCTATAAGGGATTTTCTCTCCTTTAATCGTAATGAAAAGGTTTCGTAGAGAAGACATATTATGAACTTTAATTTTTTTATGTGAACAATGAAAACTAGACAAAAAGCGAATGTAATTTTTTTTAATAATAATTGAATAGATTTTGTACATTGTATATGGATATGAAACAAAGCAACCGTTGTCTTTGAAATGCTTATACGTCTCTGAAGATAGAAATATAATAATACACCAATCATTGTGAATTTGCAGTCGTGTTATTATATTACTCCAACTCGTTCAGTGCCGTGTGTTGTACCGTGACTGCAAGACAGTAAAGCCTGGTGTTGTTCCAATAAAGGAAGCAGTGTCTCGGTGGTAGTTTCGGGAGTGCTATGTGACTGCGCCATGCCGGGCTGCTGGCACCTGCCGGAGCACGTCACCCGCTGGTGGCTGCTGGACGTGTGCAGTCAACGGCTCTTCGGCGATGTGGACGCAGACTCGCAGATTCCGCAGCGTACGTGCGCTTTGTAGTGCTCGCGGAGTTTCTTGCTTCTATGTCGCAGACTTAATGATTTCGTAGTTTATTTTGTTGTTCCTCTGTATTTAGTTAAGCTTATTGTGATGCGCTGCTGACACTAAATACCCCAATTTGATGACCTCAGAACCAAGTGATGGATAAAGATGAGACGGAAAATATTGCGATTTGTTTCTAGGCACTACATCTGTCATTATGGTATTTAATTTTTTGGTATTAATAGCTCTGTGTATTGAAAAATTGTGTTAACAATTCAAAAGTTTTGGTTTGCGGAACATGTTTCGTTATTATTACATTTGCTAGCAAAGTTGGTCTCTTTTTCTCCTTTCTTTCATTATAATGTATCTAACTCAGCCACGCTTTGCTTTGGTTCAATCTGACACAGAATTTATGTGAAAGAAAATGTAGTTAATAGGAATGCCCAGAAAAACGCAGAATTTAATTTGATTACCTGTAATAATTTAATTATCAGTTGTATGAAACGAAAGAAAAACTATTAGATTTTCGCAAATAGGCAACGTATCGGATGTCGTGACAAAATTTCAAGTTTATTGACCCACTGTTTGAGTTTTGAGAACACAAACACGAACGCTGATTTTTTTATAGTACTAACTAGCGACCCGCCCCAGCTTCGCACCGGTGCAATGTATTATACATATTCCTCTTGAATCACTCTATCTAGTAAAATAAACCGCATCAAGATCCGTTGCGTAGTTTTAAAGATCAAAGCATACATAGGGATAGACAGACCGCGGGATGACTTTGTTTTATATTATGTAGTGATGAAGTTGATTGTCTACTAAATATTTTTCTATCTTGTATTGTTTAAGATGCGGCATTGTTGGCCCACTTCAGATGTCGTTATGAACATAGCGATCGTCGGTCTGTTAATATATCTATAGTGGGCGAAATGATGAAGAGCCTCTTTTTGTTTTTCCGCCTGAAGCCAAAGCGTCATTGTTTCAAGGCGGATGCAATTCATTCGTTCTCCGCGTAATTTGCGCGAGTGGAGTCATTTCGAAGAGCCGAGCTGCGCTTTTTAATGAATAGGTGGGATTTTATTATTATATTTTTCATAAATATGTACATTATTGCAGGACTACTTTGCTATCGTATAATTCAGACGTCGGAAATTCTTGTCAATATTGAGTAAAGGCTATAAAACTATATAGGCAAG